GACAGACCTTCCTAGGAAATAGGAATTTCGTCCTCTTCAAGTCTCCTAGTCTCTCTGTTCTTCTAATTAAACTCAAACACTGCTATATAATCCAGACCTCCCTATATTGGATTCACTTTTCCTTTCATTTCTCAGATTCTAGTTTAGTACGCAGGAACTTAGATCATGCAGAAAAGGTTTAAGCCGGAAAATCCATGGTTTCTTGGAATGGCTATGGTGGGATTGATCAGTGGTGCGTTGATTATTGCTTCATTTTTAAGAGGAAATGGTTCTCCTACAGTATTTTGTAACGGTGGTCCACGGCGCCCAGCCACCGCCGGGGACGTGACGGAGCTCCAGCTAGAAGCCATTCTCCATTACGCAACGTCGAAAGTGACTCCACAGCAAAACATTCATGAGATCAGACTCTCTTACGACGTTCTCAGATCTCTTTCTCCATGCACTTTCCTCGTGTTCGGACTCGGTCACGATTCTCTCATGTGGGCCTCTTTCAACCCTCGTGGAACCACCTTATTCCTCGAGGAGGATCCCAAGTGGGTCCAGACCGTGCTCAAAGACGCCCCCGGGCTCCGAGCGAACACCGTCAACTACCGCACCAAACTCTCCGACGCCGACGATCTCCTCTCACACTACCGCAAAGAACCGGACTGTTCGTCGACTAAATCCTTCATCCGCGGGAATAGCAATTGTCAATTAGCACTGAATATGCTACAAGACGAGGTGTACGATAAAGAATGGGACATTATAATGATCGACGCGCCGCGTGGGTATTTCCCGGATGCGCCGGGGAGGATGGCGGCGATTTACTCAGCAGCCGTCATGGCGAGGAATCGAAAAAGTCCCGGCGTGACCCACGTGTACTTGCATGACGTTGACCGCAAGGTAGAGAAAATGTACGCAGAAGCCTTCTTATGTAAGAAGAATCTGGTGAAGGCTGTGGGGAGGCTATGGCATTTCAAGATTCCACCAGCTAGTAACATGGACACTGAATTTTGCTAGAGTGTGCCTCCAGTGCTCAGTTTATCTGTGGATTATTACTTTCCTTATTGACAGCCACACATTTTTCCCCCTCAATTTATTACAGGTTATTGTAATTCATAAATTGTGATCAATCAAATACTGCAAAGTCCCTGTGATTAGAATTGGACCATAAAGGAACTCCGATCTATACCAGCACCATAATATCAGATTGGGGAGGAAGATCAGAAAAAAATATCTATTCTAGTTCTATTTCTCAGTATTGTTTAATGTAATACTTAATATTGCCTTTTCTTGTACGCATCCCAACAAGTAGCTATATTTAAAATTAAATATATTGTTAAAAAATTAATCTTGCAATAATTTTGGGCTAATATAATGTTTGCTGTATGCTTGATGTGCAAGATTTAGAGCAGGGTTGGATTTTCTGGGGTATGCAAGATTAAAGAGTATAATGAATAAGAATTTAGCTTTTTTGTTCTTTAATAGTCAGTCGTAAAAGTACCATTAGTGCTTAATTGTAATAGATGATAACCAGGCTTAGCATCAGAATGTTCTGCTTTTAGTTTACAGAAAAATTACAAGATCTGAGAAGAAAAATCTTCATCGTTCAGTACTTTGATATAGAACAGTGCACTTTAATCAATTATGCAGAAGGTGGTGCAGTGTCGAATGAGTTCTTCCTTACTAAGAGGCAAGTGATCTTCGCAGGTTCAGAGTGCATATTATCAACCGTGCACAAGACAAAATCAGGCCGATGAAGTGCAAGTGTGAGCCGGTTTTTCCCAACATCCAATCCAGTTGCATCGAGAAGAACATGCCAAGAATTTCTATGTGCTTCTGAAATCCAATGCATGGTGGAACGGGCTTCATTCACGGAAGCAGGGTAAGCAAAAAGCCCTTTTGGACTGTATTTGCATTTTCTTCTGAAGTATTGGCTAAGCTGTGATCCTTTGATCCTTAAATCCAACCAAGTTTCTGGTGCTGCAATAACCTTTGAATCCTTATTCTGCACGAATTCCCTTACACAATCATACTCTTCTCCAAGAATTGTCAAATAATAGTTTCCTCTGAAGAAGGGATAAGATTCACCAATCATCATCATGGCTTCCTTACTAGTATGTGTAAAAAGCACCAAGTAATCCTCTTCTGTCAATCCACAATTCTGCAAGGCTCGATTTCGCACCTGTATTTCTGGGATGGAAATGAAATTCCCCTGGGAAGACGTTTTCTTAGCAAGGATATCAAGTAATTTGGAAGGCTTCAATTGAATTTTGCCCATATCTGAAGGAGTACCACTACCAAAAGAAGGCGAAGATGACTCCCTAATGGAAATCCTCGGGGATTTTCTTCTGTCATCAGCCGTGGATTCCGATGATTCATCATTGACACATAGACTATATAAATCTATCTTGTCTCCTTCAACAAGGCCATTGCAATATTCCGGATACTTTGCAAAAACATACTGCTGTACATATCGCCTTTCACTAGGTGTAATGGGGCCTGACCATCTCAGATCAAGACCATGAAGTGTCGATATGGCTTCTGCAACCAAGTGAGCTGGAATCACAGTATTTGCTTTCTGTTACTCATTCAAGAAAAAAA